AGCGTCTCCAGACCCTTGTTGGCAGGGCAGGGGTGATACCTTCAGAAATGCACTCCAAAATCATTCATAAAGGGTATTTCTCTCCAGATACCCTCCAGGGACCCTGGCAGCATCCCCTCACTCAGGCCTGTCCATGCCAGGCTGCTGGGTTAGTCAGTCACTCCCCTCTCAAGGCACAGCAGCTCCTCTTGGTGCTCCCATCCCCTCCCTGGCATGGTGCAGAGTGAAATTCAAAACACCCCTCTCAAGTCTTTCAAGCAGGAAGTAAGGGAGAGGAAAACCTTTTGTGGGCACCTTTTGTGCCCTTAGTTTGTGTCCAAAAAGGGTCCTTCCACAGGGTAGAAGCCTTCCAAGCACGTTGCAGAGACAATCTCCCCTCAGCTCTGGGAGTGGTGGTGGCTGCAGTGGGATGGGCAAGAGGGACACCCATGGCAGCAGCCAGCTCTAACACAGTGCTGTGTACCTAACCTCAAGGCTATTACCATTATACAGCTTAGCCAAATGAATGGAGTAGAAAAACATTTACAGTTGCCAGAGGATTAATCTTCTGAATGATGCATGGATTTTAGAGAAATGCCTTTGATTTATATAATGCTCTACTAGGGGATATAATTTCAATTAGTAATTGCTAATTTTGATTTAGTGTGTTACATACTGGATACAGCAGGTTTATTATGGTTATATTATCTAATTTGTTATGATTTATATTTACCTTAATGGGAATATCTATTAATCAATAGATACTCTGATTAACTAGGGACTATTAACTATCCTGCAACACTGGAATAACACAATCAAGCCAGTAACAGACACAGAGTATCGTCAGATGCTGTGACTGATGCATCTAACTCTGAATTTTACCATGGAATAAATACAAAAAGTAAGTGATGATTATCAGACTCATAAATGAATATATCTGTTTGAACAGGCAGCATGTCAGATGCAGTAGCTAAGCTACTTGCCCACAGAGTCCAATTCTTCTCCAAGTGAATGATTTATATATTTTAATATGAAATGTATCACTCACCAAACAGCTTCTTCCACTATGTGATATATAAATTCCACCTGTCAAGCACATTTTGATATTGTAATATATCCTGTTGTCTTGCTTCTTTCAGGGGAGTCTGTTTCTAATTCCTTACATGTTTCCTGTCTCAGACTGATATCAGCAGCATCTCTCATAGCGTTACTGTCATGATGGCTACACAAAACCTCTGCTCAGGGCTCAGCACAGAGGTTTGGAAGCAGCTGAGGTGCCCTGGGGACATGAGGACCTGGCAGGGATCCCTGTTGTGCTCTGCTCCTGGGTATGCCCCATGCTGCTGCCTGGCAGCGTGGAAAGCTGCTAAAGGAATAAGGAATAGGGAGTTTTATCCAAAAAAATCACTCTTTGCCCCAGTCTCTGAGGAAAGTTGTGGAGAGCTGCAAGACTGAGAGAAGAGGGACAGGACCTCTAACCCCCACCAAAGCCCTTAGGAAGGGCTGTTTGTGAGCCTGTTCCACTGTTTTGATTACAAAAACATATACCAAGCTACTGTGGGAATAAGGGCTCTGTTTGGATCTTTGGTTTGAAAATACCTGCAAACTCCAGCTGTTTTCCAAAGATTCAGTGGCACTCTGCTGCCTTGGTGGACACTGCTTCTGTGCTGAGAGCTGGGAAAGGACTCATGAGATTAGGCAAAGACCCCTCATTGCAGAGGCAAGACAAGCATCCCTGGATGCTCCCTCTCCTTCCAGCCTGTGAATTGTTTGACACATGTCAGTCAAAGGAGCAGGAGATTCCCAGTGTCAGGTGGAAGGAAACCAGCACCTGGCTGTGACAGACATCACAGCTCCAGCCACACCTGCAAGGGAATGGTCACCCCCTTTTGCCATCCTTCCTCTGGGACCTGCTTCCAGAGCTGCATTTCTCAGCCTCTGCTCTGCTCAGGACCACCCACATGTCTTCCCATGGGAGCTGCAGCCCCCTATAGACCTCCCTTATCTGCAGTTCCCTGCATGGAACTTTCCTCAGTCTGTAATGACTCAAACAACACCCTATAGACCCAAAATCCACTTGCTCAACTGCTTCTCCAAAACCTCCACAACCTTCCTCTAGCACTTTGCACTCCCTCAAGCTTCAAGAGGCAAGAAACATCCCTAATATCCACCTTGCACTTTCTTTCCTGCAAAATTTGCACCCTTTTCTCTTGCTCTTATGGAGGAGGAGGCAGAGGACAACAGGCACAGAGCCCCTTCACCTATGGGATGGTGGCTGCCAGAGCTGAGACTTTCCCTTCCTGTGCTGAAGTGCTGCTGGTGCTGACAGATCATTGCTCCTGCCCTCTCCTCCTCCTTCCTGCAGGCCATTTTGCCTGGGGTGAGAGGGGACTGCAGACATTTGGCTGAATCACAACATGCAGGGGACTTATTGTACCAAAAAGGGAGAAGGAATTGTCACCTGTGGACATCAGTGATTATAAATCATGTCAATGGCAGAGGGCCTCTGTCAGCTGAGACCTAAAGCAAGACTCCCAGTTCAGCAAAATTAACTGGAAAATTTGGAGAAACAGAGGAGAGGGCAAGCTATCTTTTGATTACCAAAATCAAACTCCTTAACTCCTCCAAGGCAGACCTAGAAAAGACAAAATGTATTAATCCACTGCACTTCCAGGGCCGAGTGAGCCAAAAAAGCCACTATTTGCAGAGTAAGCAAGAGCATATATAGAGCATATGCAGCAGAGGAAAACAGAGGCTAGTTCCAGCAATTAAAAACAAAAACAACAAACCACCGAAACAAAACAACCCCAGAGTAAAGATTTGAAAACCATATGCAGGTTTCTAGGTAACCAGCCCTATTTTTCTGATGCATTGAGGGCTGACTGCTTCCCACTGAAATCAGTAAGGGGCAGTTGATTGCCTGGTACATTTGGAAATCAGGCCAATCCTCCAGGAGCATGAGCAGCAGTCTGAAATGCCTGATTATGCCCCATTTGAAGTCTGATACACAGTCTGATGCCATCTGAGCCACAGCACAGCACTGTGCCTGCTGTTCAGAGACTTGTCTCTCAACATGCACGTCCTCTGCGAGGGTGGGAGCAGAACCTTCCTGCCAGTCAGACTGGGGATGGAAACCTCTCTTTCCATCACCACACATTCCACCCACCCTTAGAAAATTGAATAGATCAGCTGCAATTATGAAAAGGAAAACCTTTCATAGTTCCTGCAGCACATCATCAAACACTGTATGTCATGTAATGCAGAGATAAAGCAATGGAAGCTTAAATTTGCAGGTAAATAAGACCTGCATGGAACTGTGACCTGTCCTAATCTACTCACAGGCAGACACTGAGCAAAAGGTGAGTCAAACAAAGTTAAATACAAGCCTGACAAAAAAATATTTCCTAACTTAAAAATTCTCCAAATATTGGCTGTGAAGATTTATCTTTCCTGTGCTGGCTACTGCTGGGCTTCAGTGAGCACTTCGGATTTTGGGCAGGTGCTCTGCTCACCTTTCTTCCCTTTATTCCCATTTGGTGCCCAGTGGCTGCTTGGGAATTGTGCTGTGTCCTTCCATGAGCACCTTCCCACCTAAGGCAATCTCTGGCACCCTCAGGCAGTGATTTACTGCTAAATCACACAACAAAACTGGCTATATCCTTTATAAATTCATAAATCCCAAGTAGGACAGTTTTCCCATTATGGCTCAGCTTTGTTTCAGTGTGTAACCCCCATTGCTGAAGGAGACACAATAAATCCTGGGGCTGTGAAATCCATTGTATTTATATATGAGGCTGCTTTTGGTCTCCATTTCCCAGTCACAAATAAACTGAGATCTTCTGAGTTTGCCACAGGGGTATTTATAGATTGCAAATGGTGGCACATAAAATCAATTGGATCCTATATTTTCTTTGGGACATTTTATTGTTTCCTGTAAGTCAATGAATAATTTTCCCATCCTACAGATTCTTTTCCAAAAAGTCTGAGCTTAGATTTCTTCATACTCTTACTTTATGCTTATAAGGCTGTGATTTATGCATGCACAGTCCCGCCCTTCTTGCAGCAGAAAAAGCAGCACAAGAAACTATTTTTATTATAATGAAATGGTTTTTTGTCACTTTTTTGTTTTCTACCTTCTAATGTTTCTTCTTGCAGTTACTTGGGTAACATAATCACAGAAATTCCTATTATGCATTTATAACAGCCCAAGTATTTTTGAGAGTTTTGGGCAGCACCATTGTATCCAGAGGTGTTAGACACAGTCCCATCACAAAATGAGTATTTTCCCAAGTCCAGCCACCACACAGTATAAACCTGCAGGTTTTACAGGAGCTGCAGCCACAGCCACAGCCTCTCCTCTGGTCCCCAACAGTGAAATATCAATAGTCTTAGAGGACCACAAGAGGGAACAACTTCCATTGTTAAATCACTAAAAAAGTGAAGAAGAAAATGAAGCCGATTGAACTCACCTGAGTTGTGTGTGAGCTGTGTGAAGGGAACTTTTTTACCAGACCAAATCAACAAGGTGTGCTGGGGAATGGAGTCATTCTATAAATTTAAAAGCAGAGAAAGAATATAAAAACCAACACTGATTGTATCAGTAGTTAACCTGATAGAAACAACAGCAAAATAAACTAATATATTTTCTTCTTTTACTTCCTGCCAATTGTGTCTTTAGCCACAATTCAGAAGTGAGGATCTATCTGTATATTGAGTGTACCTTGGGACACAGTCAGATATCAGTGTCAGATACTGTGCATGGACTGCTCTGTGGTACCATGGGACATGCACAAGTTCCTGAAGAACAAAAATCCTCCCAAACTTCTGTTCCTTTGTCCTTCCCTGGCGTGGCTCTGCTGCCCAAAGGGTGTACCAGGATTTTCTCTGAGTTCAGCTCCATATCAGGGCAGTTTTGCAGAAATCTTGTCAACTGCAGCAGGACTAATTCACTGGGTGCTGCTGAAAAAAATCAAGCATTTGAAAAGCACTTCTTTTTTTTTCTTTGTCAAATACTCAAAATGGCAAAAAAGGTCAAGGATTTTTATTTTTTTCTGTTAAAGTAAATACATTTATACTAAAATACTTGAAACAAATTTTGCTTATTGCTGAAACAGCTTTATGTTAAAATTACTAAAATATAAGAAATGAGTTGTTGAATAGTGTAGCTTATCCTTACTCTTTGACTTATTTATTACTTTTCTGCAGTACTTTGCAAACCTCACAAATAGTTCTATAATTCTCTGCAATCATATTTCTACATGTGAATTTTGCTGTGAAGATCTTGCTTTTTCTGTACGTAGGCTGGAGTGGGATGTCTGAAGAATATCCAGAGCACCAACACAGACATATCTGGTAAAAAAGAAGGCAAAAACCACTGTAATTTCTTCTGCATCTGTCAGCCAGAGGTGCTCATTATACAGAACATCAGTGACAAGAGCAGGAGGAGAAATACAGGGTGCAGTATGTGCTCAGGTTAAGTGAGAAGTGATTAACATGTTTTCCCAGTCAGATTTTGACTGGTTTGAAGCTCTAGTAATCTTCTGGCATTTGATTAATCTTTTCATTTCTAGAGCAGTGCCTGTAAAGATCAGACTTTAGACAGGACTATAAATGATGCAATATTAGCAGGCCTTGAACTTCTCATATGAAGGATATAAAGATGCTAACAGGGTATAAATAGGTGTAGCCACACAGGAGGCTGAGAAAGGCTGAAGATGCTGATCACACATCCAGGCTCCAAGAGATCATTCCATAGCAGAAGTGCAGAGGGCTCTGTTTACCTGGCCACAGATTCCCAGCTCTGCATTGGGAAAGGCAGTAGGAATATTCAGGAATACCAGCCAGGGATACCTGGACACATTGCATCCCTTTCTAAAACACCCATGGCCTCTAGGAGCTGTGAATCCCAGGGCTGCCTCCTGCCCCACATCTGCTGCATCCCCTCTGTGTCCCACTTGGCCCAGCTCTTCAGTTACCACCCAAAGCATCGGGGCCAGCTCTTTTAGATTCCTGCTTCTCTCCCAAACATGCAGACAGCATGGGCTCAGCACCTCTGCCTCCCCTTTATCTTCTGCCTCTCCAGCTGACAGGGCATCTCCAGCTGCAGCAGACACAGATAGTCAATTCTAGGGCCAAAAAAGGGCAGGCAAAGAAAATACAGTCAGAATCCCAGACCTGTTTTTTAGCCACATTTTTCTAGAAACAGTGCAGGCACTTCAGGTCTCCTAATTGCACAACTAAAAACCCTAACCCCACCTCCCAAGAGTCAAGTGAAATTAGCCATTCTGTAAAGCTCAAAAATACAGCAATTAGACTGACCTCACGTTTAAAGTCCCCTCTAGCAACTGATCTCTGCAGGACAAGTGCAGTGCTTCCTCTGAAGTTCAGCTGTCTGTAGAGTACAACAATAGCAGGCAAAAGGCTCAGGTGCTTTGTACCAAAAATACTTTGCCCATGCGCTGTCGTGTCCAGCTCACAGAGAAACCCCATGTTTAGAGAAAGATGTTTTGATAAAGAGGCAAAATGAAGTGTTGCAGGTAGAGAGGCACTGCTGGAAAGGGGGAGATGAGAGAGCTCAGCCTCAGAGCTGTGCTTGGAGCACGACCTCCCTGCTCCAGGGATGGGGAAAGGCTTTTCCCTTGCCAGCCCTGAAGCAGCTGATTGGAACATCAGCCTTTCTTTTCATAGGACAAGAAATTAGGTCAAAACTTTCTAGGAAATTTCTGCTGCCTGTTTTAGAACGTGGTTCAAAAGATCAAAGGAGAGGAATTCTACAGAACCCCGTGTGTAACCTTGTGTGGAAGCGAGGCATTAACAGAGAAATCCTGTGCCTGAGCACTGCTGAGCTGACAGCCAGGGCCTTACCTGGAACAAAAGCTCTGCACAGCTCTGCAGCTGCACAAGGGAAGGCAGAGAGCACAAAAACTGAGAGCAGCCCCTCCATCAGCACCTGCCCCAAGGACAGAAATACCACAACACCATTCATCCCATTAGCTTTGGGATGGTTCCTCACTGCTCCCAGCTTGGCTGCAAAGAGCTTTTACCAACAGCAACAAATCTTCCCCAAGCAGTGCAGTCTTTATCAGTAGCTGGAGCTCCTCAGTCGTGTCCAGTATTGAATTGTTCCTCCTTCCAAAGCACTATTTTGATTAGGTGATCTCTTCCCTGAAAGGAAAAAAAAAAACCCACCCAAACACACTTAGGGCCAGATTTTAAAAAAGCTTTTGGAATCCTGCTTAATTTAAATGCATGACAGCAGGCAACTCAGCCTAATTCTCCACTTGAGCACACAGTCTACTGATTTATGCACACCAGTGAAATAGCTTTTGCAGATGCATATTTTGCCTTTTGCTTTATCCTACTTGTTTTTTAATAACTTACCATTACTTATGATTTCCTTAATTCAGACTTAAATTAGATAAACAATCAGCTGGGACACAGTCTGCATTGACCAATTTCCTCCAGTGGTTTGAAAGTGGAGTTCACTGGACTTCTTTTATCCCAAGTCACCTTGTGGTGTTTTGGAGCAGCCCTACCTTAGAGAGAGGAGAGGAAGCTGAGCCTTGCTGTGAGTAATGGGGGCAAGGGAAGAGCTGAAGGGTAAACTCCACATGTCCTAAACTCCTCCCAAACTCCCAGAGGGAACTCTGAATTGCACAATAAGAAGACTTTTATCACTGATAAATCCTCTTGCAATTTCCACACTGATGTCTCCATAGATCCCTCTGATTCATGAGGTAATTTGGCTGTTGACACTTGATGGAATTAAATACTCTAGAAGAGCATTTCTGTCCCAGAGCAGGTAAGAGAGTTTTAACTCTTTTTTTGATAGCTGACGTGGAAACAAGTGGTTGGACATGAAGCTCATCTCTACATGATGAATAGATTTCAAAACATTCCAGAAACAACTTTCTTTAGAAGAGTCAAAAGACACAAAGAACTTCTTGATCAATGAACAGTGGGTATTTTTGCTGAATAGAGGAGAATATTGGATTGCAGGATGCAGTATTAGATAAATATCCTAAGCAAATAATTACCACTGATTGTAATTAATGGTGCAGTATAGCTTGGTTCCCAAAACATTTCCACCTGATTATACAGCTCCTTTAAAATGACACCAGAATGTGGAAACTCAACAACTGATCCTTGAAAGTATCCTTCAAAGACATATCCTTGTGGGTTGAACTCTTAATTGCCACAGTGTTACATTCTTGATACCCTAAACCACCAGAATTTCAACATTTACTAGTGTAAAATTATGCTATTAAAGTTTTTACTCCTTTCAATATTGTATTATGTTTTTTAAGACATGAGTTGTTCTCCATCATTAATATTTTCTTGGGGTTTTTTTGGTTCACTTTCAAGGCCAAAAGTCCACAGGCAGGATTTCTATCAGTTTTAGTTGGAGTCTCACCTGATTAGAAGCTGCAGCAATAAGTTTCATGATCGCTCACAGAGCTTGAGATTTCAGCTTTTCCTGACGTGTTCTTCTAGATTTGATTTCAGTCCAAAATGTGCCTTTCTGGTTGGAATTAAAAGCCAGTTAATTTTCAAAATTCCCTGTAAAGGAGAGACATTGAAATAAAAATGGTAAAAAACAATCACCTCAGATCAAGACTGAGGTAATTTGAAACAGTTTTTTATTTAATTGTTTATGTTTCTTGTTTGACCTGACTTAAATTAGTCTTGCTGTATGACACAGCAAGAACAGCATTGCTTTCTAATAACAGCATTAATCACAGCATAAAAATACTTCTTGGTAATGTACAACAGTTCTTGTGAGCTGAAAATAAAAAGTAATGTTCATCTGCCTACAAGGATTAAAGTAAATAAAAATGAAATACACTACTGGGATTACAGCATGGGAGACGACTGGAAATGCTGGCGTGATTTGACATCTAACAGCTAACTTTGCTGGTATTAGCAGGCTGTGAAATTATATAAAAAATGCAAAAAAACAGAAGAAAATATAATGAGTTTCATTTAAAAATTTCTCTTTTTGATCTTTTATCCAGAAGAAACTTTCTGTTCTGCATTTTGTCCCACACCACTTTTTAAGAAGGAGCCTTTGCAGCAACAGCACTAATTAGTGTTGTGGTTTAACTTGGAGGCAGCCAAACACACAGAGCCCTTTGCTCCCCACCACAGGATGGGGAGAGAATTGGGAAAAAGCTGAAATAGTTTTCTAGTTTAATAGGTCAGAAGAGGAAGGAAAACCAATAATAATGATAAAAGAATATACCAAACAAGTGATGCCCAATGCAGTCCTCAGCCCAGCCATCCCACTGCCAGCTCCCCCTTTTTTTGTTTACCATATCTCTTGTTTTTGTTTGTTCAGAACACATGCAAGGCAATTTTATTTCACAGGCTCTTCAAGTGTTAATGTGGAAATGATTCAAAAGTTCTAAATGTGACACCAAAGCCTGTTGTTCCGTGGGTCTGGGTATAGAAAAGGAGAAGCTGCAGGGAGCAGCTGCCTGGCAGAGAGAGGCAGGGTGATTCCAGGAGCCACGCTGGCCTGGCCACGTCTGTGAGCTCAGGGAACCTGCAGGAGGATGCCCAGGAGATGAAGGAGCCCATTTGGACAATCATTCCCCACCTGCACTGACCAAAGGCTCCAGCACCACAGGAATAAAGGTTCTCTCAGCCTGAACTGCCACTTCACACAGAGCCAACAGCAGGGAATCCATCCAGAATATTCTGTAGGATAAAAAGGAAATGGACTTTCAAAACCATTGCATTCTCTCTCATGTCAGAGACACTTCATCAGTGTTTTGCAAAAGCACACCAAGTAATTTGGTTTGAAAAGCACCACATTAGTACATTTTGGCTTTCAAACATGCTTTTTTCCAAAATAATCATTTTTATGCACGCAAATACTTCAAAGGGAAGGATTAGAAGAAACAACACTTCTTATCCCTCCCCTATTTCATGTATCACCAGGATGGTGATCTCTAATACCAAATGCAACTTGCACTTCAGTCAGCACTGAGGCAAAGGAGCATTATCTGCTGAGCAGCTTCATTATCTCATCAGCAGCTCCTCTGTTTCCCTGGGGAGCTCCTGGCCAAGGCCCTGCTCCTGCCTGCACCTGGTGAGTGCATTCACCCTGGCAAGGCCACGGCAAGAGGCACATGAGCAAAGGTCCTCCGAAATGGAAATTACTCATGAGTTTTTAATGCAAATCAGAAGAGGTCAGTCAAAATAAGCACACAGAGAAAACTAATTGGAAGTGAAGTATGGACTCAAATGATAAAATATAGCTCAGTTTTATACAGCTCAATGATCACATGCATTTACTTCTAACATCCAAGGACAACAGCCTAAGCAGCCAGTTCACACTTTTCTTTCTGTCTGTAGTGATACCTTTCAAGCACAAGTATGTCAGGTGGGTAACATTATTTCTTGAATAATTTCACCATAACTTCAAAATATTTTCTAAAATTAACAGCACCGTCATATAGGCATCATTGACTTAAGTAATCTGATAGCCTACAAAACCTGAACATACTTTAGAAATAAGACTTCTGGATGCAATGACAGTTTTTAAAAAAACACACAAGGCAAAAAATAAACTCAAAAAACTCATACAAAAAACTTCATGAACATTGTGAGGATGAGGGCAAGCAAGCCCACTGGGTGCTTTATTTCCAGTTTAGAATCCACATGGAGCATGCAGATATTTTAAGTTGGGAGTTTTAATAGGACCAGTTTGTTTTAAAGGTTTACAAATTTTGCAGTGAACCTTCCCAAAAAGTGAATCCACGTTCCTTGGATGGATGGAGGAAAGTGGGGCTGCCAGCTCCTGCCCAGCCTGAAGGCACAGGGAGGTGCCCAAGCTGCAAAAGCTGCACCACTGAGCTGCAGGGCTTTCACCTCCCTACAAAGCCTGCAAGAGTAAGAGAAATGACCAGTCATAATATTGTGAATTCTTCAGAAATCTGGGAAATTAATCCAGACCTAAATCCAGACCTCTGTTTCACAGCAGACCCACATCTATTTTAGAGCCCAACCTAAGGCATGAAATTCTTTTATACAATTGAAATGCTGTAAGGGAAACTGCTGCCCAGGCTGCTCCTGCCTCCTCTCCCTGCCTCGGTCCTGTACAATTCAAAGGAATGACCAGACTGGAGCAATGCTGGGGCACAGAGAGGAACCACTCCAGTGTTCTGCTAACAAGTCATGAGCTGAGCTTCCTGCAGGTACACATGTAGCTGTTAAATAAAGAAAATAAGAGCACCAGGCTGGCAGAGATCTCCTTTGGAGAGGTCACAAAGCAATCGCCTTTCCAGCAGGTGAAAATCACTGCAGGAGAAGGGGGCTCAGCTTCTGCACAAACACAACTGATCGTGGTGAATGTATAAGCATCTGTTTCCATGAGCCAGATAATTGGGTCCTTGGGAAGCAGACTAACAAGAGGAAGGAAATCTCTAGAATTCAGATTTTGTTTTAAGATGCTCACTTTTTGCCAGCAATCATTTTATACAAGAGCAGTGACTAAGTGCAGATACAATTGTGGTTGTCCTGTCATGTTTCCTGGGTTCTGTTCCTCTCTAAGGGGGATAATTTCCCAGAGATCATGGTGTCACAGCACTATCACCTTTTACTCTAATATCTTTTTTCCACCTCTTCTTTCTCCTGCACCCACTGAAATCTGTGTGAACACCTAAAAATATACATGACTTGGCAGATCTTTGCTGGGGCTCCTCTCACATCAGCAGTCTGCTTAAGGCATTGTGTACCAAAAGCTGAACATCATTATGAGTTATCCAACCAGCTGGTAAAATGTTACTTCATTTTTGTTTCCATGCACTGATTTCCCCCTTGATGTGACAGCCCAATCTCCCACTCACTCGCTGTCAGCCACTGTTTCCCTTTGATGCTGACACTCAGTCATTCAGTCTTTTCAGTCTACACCTTCCTCAGCATTATGTGTACTCTGGCTGTGGGTTTGGCATGCTGGAATTGCTCAGGAAAACTTCCTTTCTTTTGTTTAAAAATAACCTAAAGTATTTCTTCATTGTTTAAGGAAATAATTTCCCCTTGGAGAATGAAAATGTGCTGTCTTCTGTATGTGTGCTCTATATTGCAAAACAAATACCTTGTGTATATTTATATTTACATATACCTGTATTTTGTGCCTTTTGTAATTTTAGAGGCAAAATCTTCAGTGACCCCATGCAGTCACCATGGATCCCTGAGCAGCCATTAGAAATCTGCACTCAGCTGCTTGCCCAAGTTCCAGGAAGGTAATGTCCACCCGTATCCCTGATGTCTAAAATTCCCCAGCAGAAAAGATGTGATTTCCTTCTCAAGCTAAGGAACCCATCCAGCTCAAGGCACGTGCTTTTGCTGGGATTCAAGCTGGCAAACAGGGAGACACTGGAAGTCACCTGCAGGTAATTGCACCTTAAAAGAAAATCAGCATTCATAGACTGAACACAGAGTATTTGTTTGATTGGAGGTCTCAATTCTTTGCAGAAAATTGGGAATGTTAAAGCACTGATGCTTTGATTGCTAGGGCTGACAGTTCTCTGCACTGTGAAGTTGGTTTGAAATGTTAAAGGATCACAGCCAGACTTTGGATGATGAGCTTTCTGTTACAGACTGATGCTCCTTCCTTGAGCCTTGTACCTAAATAAAGCTTTTGAAAGGGTCTTTCTTCCTACACTCCAGCAATCCCAGCCCAGCCATTCACTGAATGTTTAAAGCTGCCCTCACTCTTTACACAAGACAAAGGGGATGGACATCTGAAAACCAGACTCATTTTGGCTGCTGAGTTCAATTATCCACCACTGCAAAAGCACCAACATGCTGTCTTTAAAAACCCAAAATAAAATTGAAAAAAATCCCAACATCAACAACCCCAAACATATTAAAGAAGGAGTAGGTGATTCCACTCCCATTGCCCACCTTGACACACCTTAAAAGCTTCATTTTCTCAGGAAAAACATTGAGTTTTCAGATTATTAACTAATTTATATTCCATTTTCTAAATTTTCTGTAACATTCAGAAATCTTTCTTAAGGAAATAAATAAATTGATTTTTTTTTATAATTTCTACTTTAGGTGAGCTCTGATCACTCTCTGCTCCTTAAGGGGTCCTTGCTATATCTCACTGGTAAATCCTTCACATTCTCTTCAAAATAGTGAAAGAAAAAACAATTCAGGTCTCCATGCATTGATTATTTCAGGCATGGCTGGGAAGCAAATGTGACTGGCTCTAATCACAGTAGGTGTGATTAGAAGCAATATTTAAGTAACTGTCAGATCAGGAGAATACCTTAATGGAAATTGGCTACAAAACATATCTTCATTAAACAATGACCTGACTCCACACCAGCACTATTCAACATTCCTCTCTGCCACCACTGTCAAAAATTTAGACTGCATTTGACAAATGTGGATGAATGTCTAAAAATTTCCCTTAATGGCTTGGGGTTTTTTGGGTTAGGGTTCTGGAGTCACTTAGCACTTAAAAAACACTTGTTTAAAATTTAAAAAAATGGGGCAAATTTCCCTGGTACAAACATTTAGGAATTTTTAAGAAGAGAGTGCTATATATTGGACAGCTTGAATTTTGTGTGTGAGAGTGTGGGAGTATTGCATCACTGCCTATTTGCACTTCCCAAATGTGATGTGCTCAGTGTTACTCTTGTGTGATCTGTGGCTACAGGTTGTTAAGGAAGAGGAGATGGCATCTGTCAGGAAAGAGCAGAAAATTCCAGTGCCACCACAGCAACCCACTCCTGGTGCCTTTCCCTTGCACAAAACCAAGGGAGGATGGGCACTGGAGCCAGGCTGCCAGGGCAGCCCTCTGAGAGGTCTTGCAGTCTGGACCTGGTATTTACTTTAATCCAGTATGGCCTGAGCTGTGTGGGATTTGGCATGGTAAAAAAATCCCAGGTTTTATAAAACTTTTTTTACAAGGATATGCTTTACTGTGCAGAGACAGAGAGTGAACAAGAGTTCCTGTCACTGCTGCTGGCAAATGAGTCCAGCAAAGGATGTGTTTGACAGCAAAAGAGATTTCTGTAGTGGCCCTTTCAGCCTAAGGAAAATGATATTTAAGTCTAAACCAAAGGACTGAAGGTCAGATTGCAAAAGAGCTGGTATTCCTAATTGTAAACAGATTTTGGGAGAGCTCCATCTGTATTGGCCAAGTACTTCTCAGTTTCTGACCACAAAACCAAACATTGAACTTTTTTTAAAACCTCTGATGCTTTGAGCCATGCTACAGCCTATATTAAAAAATCTTTTTAATATTTCAAGGTTTTCTCAGTGCCAAGCTATTAAATGTGTAGACTGATTTCCTTAGAGCAAAATCCTTCCCCAAAAACCTGGAAAGAATGTCAGTCAAAATAGTTAATTACTAAAAAAAAAAAAAAAAAAAAAAAAAAAAAAAAAAAAAAAAAAAAAAAAAAAAAAAAAAAAAAAAAAAAAAAAAAACCAAACAAACAAAAAAAAAAAAAAACAGTAATTGACTGCATGGATTTTAATTTTATGAGATAGCCTTATCCATGTGAGAACTCTCCAAGCTGAGGCTGGAGAACAATGGCTCCCTGAACACAAAAGCAGTTCCCAAATCACAGCAGAGATTGTAAGGTTGAATTTGACCTTACTTGCTCCAATAAAAATTCAGGTTATGTCCATAAAAATGAGCAAGAAGGAGGTAACAAAAGGGGTGAGAATGAG